CCACATCATCCTGATACCAAAACCAGGCAGAGACTCAACTAAAAAAGAAAACTTCAGGCCAATATCCATGATGAACATCAACACAAAAATCTTCAATAAAATACTGGCAAACAGATTGCAACCTCACATAAAAAAGCTTCTCCATCACGACCAAGTAGGCTTCATCCTGGGGATGCAGGGCTGGTTCAGCATACGCAAATCCATAAATGTAATCCATGACATAAAGGGAACCAACGACAAAAACCACATGATTATCTCAATAGATGCAGAGGAGGCCTTCAATAAAATTCAACAGCCCTTCATGCTAAAAACTCTCAATAAACTACGTATTGAAGGAAGGTATCATAAAATGATAAAAGCTGTATATGACAAACCTACAGCAAATATACTGAACGAGCAAAAGCTGGAAGAATTCCCTTTGAAATCAGGTACTAGATGAGGATGCTCTCTCTCACCACTCCTATTCAACATAGTATTGGAAGATCTAGCCAGAGGAATCAGGCAAGAAAAGAAAGAAAGGGTATTCAATTAGGAAAGAAGGCAGTCAAATTGTCTGTATTTGCAGATGACATGACTGTATATCTAAAAGGCCCCATCATCTCAGCCCAGAATCTCCTGAAACTGATAAGAAACTTCAGCAGCAAAGTCTCAGGATACAAAATCAATGTGCAGAAATCACAAGCATTCCTATATACCAATAACAGACAAACAGAGAGCCAAATCAAGAGTGAACTCCCATTCACAATTGCTACAAAAAGAATAAAATAGCTAGGAATACAATTAACAAAGGATGTAAAGGACCTCTTCAAGGAGAACTACAAACCACTCCTCAATGAAATAAGAGAGGACACAAACAGAAGGAGAAACATTCCATGCCCATGGTTAGGAAGAATCAATGTCTTGAAAATGGCCGTACTGCCCAAAGTAATCTACAGATTCAATGCTATCCCCATCAAGCTACCAGTGACCTTCTTCACAGAACTGGAAAATACCACCTTAAACTTCATATGGAATCACAAAAGACCCTGCGTAACCAAGACGATCCTAAGCAAAAAGAACAAAGCCGGAGGCATCACACTGCTGGACTTTAAACTATACTACAAGGTTACAGTAATCAAAACAGCATGGTACTGGTACCAAAACAGAGACACAGACCAATGGAACAGAACAGAGACCTCAGAAGAAACACCACACATCTATAACCATCTGATCTTTGACAAACCTGGCAAAAACAAGCAATGGGGAAAGGACTCCATGTTTAATAAATGGTATTGGGAAAACTGGCTAGCAATGTGCAGAAAGTAGAAACTGGACCCTTACCTGCCACCTTACACTAAAATTAACTCCAGATGGATCAAAGATTTAAACATAAAACCTAACACCGGCTGGGAGTGATGGCTCACGCCTATAATGCCAGCACTTTGGGAGGCCAAGGCAGGTGAATCACGAGGTCAAGAGATCGAGACCATCCTGGTGAACAAGCTGAAACCCAGTCTCTACTAAAAATACAAAAATTAGCTGGGCATGGTTGCGCGTGCCTGTAATCCCAGCTACTCAGGAGGCTGAGACAGGAGAATTGCTTGAACCCAGAAGGCGGAGGTAGCGGTGAGCCGAGATCGTGCCATTGCACTCCAGTCTGGGTAACAAGAGTGAAACTCCGTCTCAAAAAAAAAAAAAAAAAAAAACCTAACACCATAAAAACACTAGAAGAATATGTAGGCAAAACCATTCAGGACATAGACATAGGCAAGGACTTCATGACTAAAACACCAAAAGCAATGGCAATAAAAGCCAAGATAGACAAATGAGATCCAATTAAACTCCAGAGCTTCTGTACAGCAAAAGAAGCCATCATTAGAGCAAATCAGCAACCAACAGAATGGGAAAAGTTTTTGCGATCTACCCATCTAACAAAGTGCTAATTTCCAGAATCTACGAGGAACTAAAACAGATATACAGGAAAAAAACAACCCTATTCAAAAATGGGCGAAGGATATGAACAGACACTTTTCAAAAGAAGACATATATGAGGCCAACAAACATATCAAAAAACGCTCATCATTAGTCATTAGAGAAATGCAAATCAAAACCACACTGAGATACCCTCTCATGTCAGTTAGAATGGTGATCATTAAAAAATCTGGAGACAGCAGATGCTGGAGAGAATATGGAGAAATAGGAACACTCTTACACAGTTGGTGGGAGTGTAAATTAGTTCAACCATTGTGGAAGACAGCGTGGCGATTTCTCAAGGATCTAGAAATAGAAATTCCATTTGACCCAGCAATCCCATTACATACCCAAAGAATGATAAATTGTTCTATAAAGACACATGCATACATATATTCATTGCAGGCCTGTGTACAATAGCAAAGACCTGGAACCAACCCAAATGCCCATCAGTGATAGACTGGACAAAGAAAATGTGGTACATATACACTGTGGAATACTATGCAGCCATAAAAAACGATGAGTTCATGTCCTTTGTAGGGACTTGGATGAATCTGGAAACCATCATTCTCAGCAAACTGACACAAGAACAGAAAGCCAAACACCATATGTTCTCACCCATAGGTGGGTGTTGAACAAGAAAACACATGGACGCAGGGAGAGGAACATCACACACTGGGGACAGTGTGGGGGTGGGGAGGGAGAACATGGAGAGAAATGCCAGATATAATATGTACCTAAAGTAAAATAAATAAATTTTTAAAAAAAGATCTTAACATTGAGTATGAATAATAGGAAATTTCAGCTACTACTTAGATTGTGATTAGGATATCAGGTAATTAAATACTTTCTATATTTTAATTTTCTTGTTTTAAAAATCTTTGAGCTAAATGTGTTAATCCAGTGTGTTTGGTTTTATAAGAAAGGTATAGCTCTAATAATATTGGCTTTGGATAGTCAGTTTAATTTACAAGTTGATAGTTTTTCAAGGTGTGTTACCCTCAAGATTTGGTCTGTGTGTCTCAGGGAATTAGCAAGAAAGCAGCAAATTATACTACACAGCCAGTGACTTCCGTTGATGTGGAGCTGTTCGCATCTGAGAATCTAAAGCTCCATCCCTATTCTAACAGCATGGTCAGTTGGAAGGTGGAAAATTTGGCCTTCACCTTCACCAGGGATGCAGCTGCCACCATATGAGAAGTTGGGCTATCTTGAACAGAAAGAGTGTCTTAAGATTCTGCATGTTTACATCAACATAGCCCTAGAGTGGTCTGTTTCAGTCATTTACCCCACTCAGCATTTCCAGAGTGTGCTTCTGTGTAGAACACATGGTCAGGTACAGGGAAACTGAGATGTATGTAACACAAGCTTCTGCCTACAACCAACTTTCAATTACAGAAACCTAAAAACTTGAAACCAAGACTGGTTGAGAAATGCTCATATAGGGGCTATAGGAGCTAGAAGAAGAGCTTCTAAGTTCAGTTGGGCCTGGTCAAGGGGGTCTTCCCTTGAGAAAGAGCAAGGAAAAGGTATCAGAGACATGAAATCAGAGAGCTGTGTGAGCAGGGCATGCAGCGAGGCGTGGAAGGAGATGACCCAAAACGGATGTCTGCTGCTTTTTCATGTATCATTTTCCTGTGTTATTTCACATTAGTTCCAAATTTGAATGAAAGTACACTGCTATTTAAATATTGTAAAGGTACCTAAAGTTATTCTGCTTGTAGGATACTCTAGCGTCTACACCATCCTTAGACACTTGCTCTGTGTAAAACAGTTCATTGTATTTTTTATGCTGACGTCCAGGTTTGTTGTAGAAAGTGGTCTATTTTAGGCTAAAGAGAAATTTAAACTCACTTCTCTAAAAAAGAACTTTGGAGATAAGCTCATATAAAACATTTTCTTAAACAGCTCCCACTGTTTATATGATTTGATGCCCCATTGAGATCTCCACAGGAAGCTTCAAATACATCTTGGCTTACACTTTTTCAGACCAAGGTTACTTGTCTTCCAATGAGACTCACCATGTTTCAGTACTTAGGGAAAGCTCGTTTATAGAAACAAGTATAGAAGATGGCCTGAAGTTTATGCAGCCCCCTTAGAAATTCCAGACATTTATCTATCCTTGGATTAAGCCAGTTCACCAAAAAGAGGAATTCTTAACTGACATCATCCTGACCCCTCGTGAAACAGAGGGAAGTGCTTACTTCTTCTACCAGAGCCTCCAGCACCAGCTTCCTTTGGGTGATGTAACACTCAGCCCTACAAAATTCCCTGTTGTAAAGCTAATGTCTTCATTCAGTCACTAAACACAGTGCCCCCTTTACAAAGACCTATAGGAGAAATGGCTCCTTGGTCTCAGAGCCAGGAACAATTGTTCTCATCGGAGCAATGGGTTTGCTGTGATGATGCTGCATCAATCACCTGTCTGATCTGTGCTCCCAGAAAACTGAGAGACAGGGCAGCAGTCTTGCCTCCGGCACAGGTACCAACTCCTCAGCTTAGATTTGTGGTAACCCCACTTCTGTCTTTATTTTGTAAGCTCTTATTTTTCTTCTCATTTCCTGTCCTACTTTAGGCTCTTGAATTATCTGAATTTTTGTACACTACTTAAATTCTTTAAGGAATAAATTTAGGGTATGAACATGTATTAAGTATCCTTAGTTATTCTGTTTAGAGGACAAAACATATAAATTATTAGTTTTCAGATAATGAATATACTCAATACAGCTGACATTAAAACTGCTACTCTTGTGAATATGACTGAACCATACATTCTGTGCGGTCAGGGGTCTTGGCTAACTTGGTCACTTCTGTATCTCAAGTTGCTATTGCTGTGCTTGGCATGTAGCAAATGCTCAGGAAATATTTCTGAGTGTGAACAAAAGATCTTTCAGTAACTGAAGTTTACCAATGGTGCGCAGTCTGCAGATGCTCAGAAGCAAAGTGAAGGCGTAATGCTCTGGTGTTTTCTCCACCTTTTTTGGACATGGGTGAGGGTGTAGCAAGGGACACCACTGACCCCTCTGATGCTCTCCTGTCTCTCTCTGCAGACTCACATTTCAAGACTCCCTCCTGGTGCGGTGGCAGGACAGTCCGTGGCAATCGAAGGTGGAGTGTGCCGCCTGGAGAGCCCAGTGAACTGACCCTTCAGGCTGAGTGTGAAGCGTCTGAGAGGCATTTCAGAACCTGAGCTTTTTGGGGTTTTTAATTGAATTGGCTGTTTTATCTTCCTTGTTTTATAATTCCTATTGCAACCACGTGCACTGCTCGAGACACAAGTGCTGTAGTTAGCGCTTAGTGACATGCGGGCCTTTGGCGGGTGAGCGGGACTGTGTGTGTGTGTGCGCGCACACACATGTGTGCATGTGTGTATGTGTGCAGTATGTATGTTCGCTTCTCCCTGGATGAAATAGAAACTCCTTGTTATGTGACCAGGAATGGTTAAATCATCTTTATGTAATGTACGCTTTAACTGTTTACAAGTAAAACCTAAAGTTGCAGGAAACATTTATTTCGTTAAGAGGTACCAACTGTCCCTGATGTAATGTGTCAGAACTGAAGAGTAAATCACTTGTTTATGACTTGACAGTGGTAGTGCTTCATTTAATAAGAGTAAGAAGTAATAAGGTGTTTTTATTCGTTAACCAGTTTAAGTGGATCCTGTGGTAACTTAAACTGTTGTTCTCATCCCTTATATGGGGCATTTTTCTTTAACAAAGAATGGTTTCAGTGAAACAATCTAGCAGAGAATTAATGTCAGAACCTTTTAAAATAATTGTCTGATTGATACAGTTTGTACTTCTTTCGTCAAGCTTTTCTAAGCTTAAATATTGCATAACTTCGAGCTGTATGGGCTATATTATGAAAGAATATGTAAAGAGAACATACAGTAATGCACAGTCCTTAATTTGTGTATAATGGAATGTTATTTACAATATAACACTGTAAATAAGAAAGCAAAGTTTATGGGAAAATTCAATATTATCTTTGTTTTTGTTTAAATATATTTTTAAGATAAAGGCACAAAAATAAAAGAAGCATATTACTGGGTATAGTATGTGACTCCTCTTCTCAAACTAATAAATTATCTTTTGAATCCCTGACTGGAGAGCTGTCATTTATTTTGTTTGTCAGATGTTCTTCCAGAAATCACACCATTATCCATCTTGTTGTTGTTCCGACTGTTCAAAGGCCAGTCTTACGCAGTAAAAAGACACTGGCGAGATGGAAACGGACCTTGGTCCCCGATTGAATGGTCAATATGAAAGTCTCTAAAATTTCGGTTGCAATTTGATAAAAATAACAAAGAGTAGGAATAAGAACACTTTACTTTGAAAAATTGTAGTGGCAGCTAAGAGCTCGATAGTTTCAGTTGATAAATTACTTCTAAATGTTATATTCAGGGATTCTGGAGCCACTTAGGAAAGCCAGGACTTTCCTTCTGATGTTTTTCTATGTAAGAGTGGTTATCAAGAAGATACTAAAGACAGACGCACTCGGGGGAGGAAGTTCCCTGCACCATGTAATCATGGCTCTGGGCAGTAACTGATAAAGCCCAGATAAAATTATACACTTGACATCAATGTATGGCCAAATTATAAAGGAAAGACAACCAAACTGGAGTGGGTGTAAATATGAATAATTTGAGAGTTGCTGATTTGTATTCCTGGTTCAGGCAATTACATTTGTCTTGCTGTGCTCTCATAGACAGGTTGGTGCCGTGGTATCTGTTTCTCATTCTTAATGTGGCTGAGAACTTGGTGAGAGACGGGCTGGCTGGTGGGGAGCCTTTGGCTTCAAAAGCTTTCGGAGACCTGTTACCTGTTGGCAGAGATTTTTCAGGAACTGGATTGGATCACATAAAACTATCAGGACGCTTTGGAGTCTGAAAATCATCTGACCAGTTTCACCAGGAATGCCACTTCTTTCATCTCTTTTTGCCTTTTTTCCATTTGTATTTAAAAGTTTAAGACCCCTTTTATTAAGAGTTTTAAAACCAGCCAGTATAAAAGAGCACAGCTCCTCCAAGAGCAGTTTGTCAAGGCTTTACTCTTCAATTTTCTAAATATTTTTTCTTAATTTAAGGAATATGGTGAAGCCAAGAGGGGGAACATAGTGATATTCAGAATCATGGAGGCAAAAATGTAACATGTAATATAAGTTCCTTCCTTATAAGATCAGATATTAAAGATCAGCTACTGGAACCAGAGGATACTGAGAGATGTAAAATCAACTTCCTTTCACACTAAAGTAGAAAAGGTAGAAACAGATAAGAAAATAGCCTCATTCTCTAGTCTGGCTTATATTACCAAGATTCTGAAGCTGTATTTTAAGCTGTATTTTATCTGTGTGCCTATATTTGATTTCTTTGTAAGGCCTGAGTGTGGGATATCTGGTTCTCTTAAGTAGAATTAAGCCTGGTCTGGATTCCTCAAGGTGGTCACTGTGACCTAGCTCTGGATTTGGAAACAGGGGCATCTTCAGGGCTTGGTGAGGAGATAAGAGCGTGTGCTTTTGCTTAAGGCACCTGGAGCACCTGTGCTGATTGGGCTGTCTTGTCAGCCCTGCCATTTTTCTCTCTGCCTTCAATATGTCTGTCTCTGGCAGGCCCTGTCTTACCTTCTAATTGACACTTGTAAATGCGAACTTGATGTGGAGAAAAGAAAACACTTATACTCTGCTGTTGGGAATGTAAATTATGTCAGCTACTGTGGAAGATTTCTCAGTGAACTTAAAATGGAACTACCATTCAACCCAACAATCCCATTACTAGGTATATACCTAAAGAAATGGAAGTCATTCTACTGTAAAGACACATGCATACATATGTTCACTGCAGCACTATTCACAATAGCAAAGACACAAAATCAACCTAGATACCCATCTGCAAAGAACAAGTTAAAGAAAATGTGGTACGTATACACCATGGAATACTATGCAGCCACAAAAAAGAACAAAATTGGCTGGGCGCAGTGGCTCTTGCCTGTAATCCCAACACTTTGGGAGGCCGAGGTGGGTGGATTACCTGAGGTCAGGAGTTCGAGACCAGACTGGCCAATATGGTAAAACCCCATCTCTACTAAAAAAAAAAATACAAAAATTAGCCAGGCACGGTGGCGGGCACCTATAATCCCAGCTACTTGGGAGACTGAGGCAGGAGAATCTCTTGAACTCGGGAGGCAGAGGTTCCAGTGAGCCGAGATCGAGCAATTGCACTTCAGCCTGGGTAACAAGAGCAAAACTCTGTCGCAAAAAAATTTTAAAAAGGACAAAATCATGTCCTCATAGCAACATGGATGGAGCCGGAGGCCGTTATCCTAAGCAGAAAATCAAATACTTCATGTTCTCACTTAAAAGTGGGAGCTAATACTGAGTACTCATGGACACAAGGGAACAATTGACACCAAGGCCTACTTCAGGGCAGAGGGTGAGAGGAGGGTAAGAATTGAAAGTCAGTCCTATGCTGATTACCTGGGTGGTAAAATTATCTGTACACCAAACCCCACAATGCTCTACCCATGCAACAAACCTGCACACGTACCCCGTGAACCTAAAATAAAAGTTGGAAAGACAGAAAATTAATGTGAAATTGAATTTGGATATCAATATCTGTTAGAATTTTGTACAAAGTGTGTATAAATAAGTCCTAGATGCTAGGCTGAGGGGCCTGTCTGTGAGCCAAGTGAATGAATTTTGGCTTATGGATATGAGGACATCTCTTGAGGCTACTCAAAAGCATTTTTTGCATAATTCCCAGTTTTCTCCCACATCTGAGAGTGGTAATACTGCATACAGTGACCTGCAGATAAGTGAGGTTACTCCGTTTTAACGCTGGATGGAGGGAGGAAAGGAGGAGGGGAGAGAGTGAAGAAGAGGAGATTTAGAAAAGAGCTGGCATCACTCGTGAATCTTGAGATTGTATTAATAATTGCGGGATCTTTTATTTTTTGACTTGGCCATTTTTATTACAAAGGCAGTCTGCACTTACTAGGAAAAAAATTAGAAAACAGATAAGAAAATTTAAAAATTTTAAATTTCAAATAAAAATTTAGCTCACAATCCTACTTCCCTGGCAGCAACCCTTAATAGACATCCTATAGACTCTTTTAGGCATGAATTTTCTGTTTTTAACACACCAAAAATGGGGCTATATTGAACTCCCAAAATGGGGTTATATGTCCTGCAGGTTTCATTTAGATGACCAGACCTACAGGTTTACACAATCCCTCGTTTATTGCTTTCCCATGCAATGCTGGCCCAGCCTAATGATATATTTGTGTCCTTAAACTTATGGGGAAATCTATGACAATGCTGAGCAGAATAGCCAATATCCAAAGTTTCAGGCTACAGGTATGTACGACAAGCACTGTGGGATGGTCTCAGCCAATGAAAGCCAGCCTGGCATGCCTTTGGACCTCACTGTTTCAGTATCCCCCCACACAACTTCTACAGGCTCTTCCAGAACAATGGAAAGCTGTTCTGTCCCCAGGGGCTGCAGGCCACAAATGCCAGGGAATCAGCACTCCCTAGAAGTTGGCATATAAATTGGCTAGCTCCTTTGCTCCTTGGGTGCAATAATACCAAATATGTGTTTTGCAATTTTTGAGAGAGTTCCCACGGGAATTAAGCCTGTTTCCCCCTCTGGTAGTTAACTTAATCAGTACACCTGTGTTGGCTTTCGTCCCTTTTCTGGTTCCTTCTCTCCTACCTGTGTTTACTGAAATCACCTCCCAAATGAACTACTTGTCTCGGGGTTGCTTTTGGGAGATTTCACATTCCACTCCTATTCTTGGCCACAAGGTCTTAGTGAGTTTTTATGCCCTCCACAGAGTGGACTCACCCATCTGTTTATGCCCCTCCCTGTGGCTCTCTCCCTGACATCCGTTCCCACTCAACCATTTTCATCCATAACATCGGGGAATGTTCTCCAAGTGACAAGGCTGGATGTGCCACAGAAGTTTGGGAAGAGTTTGCCACTGAGTCACTGTTAACAGGCACCACACTTCTGGAGACAGACAAACACTTTTAAGGATATGGTGAAGTAAACAGAAGCTGAAGAGCGACAGTTCATCCAGGATTTGGTGGCTGCCTTCAAGGAAGCGACCTGGAATTGTGTTAACGGTAGTTGGAAGAAGCTTTAGCTAAAGGTGTTTCACGACTTTAAGAGATTCAAGGAGACCAGAACAGTGTCCTGCGTCGTGAAGAACATGAACACGTCTTGAGGACGTGCATGCCGTGGCAGCCTCACACAACACCCATTGCCAAAAGGCCATCTCTTAAGTCTGCATGTTAGTAACGTAATTTCATGGTAAAATTTTTTTAATGTTTTCCAACTTTTCTCTTAAAACTAAATGCTTAAGTAAGGCACATCAGCTTTGTTCCGACATAAATCCTATAAACGCTCAACACTGGGAGTCTCCTCTGGCTGCAAAGCCCCGTCTTTCTGTTCACCTTAAGGTGGCAGTGGCTGATGGAGAACTTTCAGAGGGAACAGAGGTGGGAGCCACCACCCCTCCCAGGAATACTGGCCCAAGACGAGGCTGAGCCCCGCAGCAATGAATCCCTGTGTGTATGATTAATGTGTATGATTAATCTGTTTTCCTCTAGTTACATTCTAAACCTTTCCCAGAAGCTGATTAACCAGGGGAAGGAGGTGTAAGTAGGTAAATGTAGTGGGCTATAGTGGGAGTGAATGGGAAGTTGGAAACATAGTTAATATCACATTAATATTTGTTCTGGGGCCTTAAGAATTCTTAAGGTATATACCACCTTTCCCCAGCACTTAATTTGGGTTCATGTCCACAAGGTATTAGCCAGATGTCTGTGATCAGAGACCCACAGGCTGACCAAATTGACCAGGCAATCTTCCCCCCACCCCTCCCCCATGCTTCTGTCTCTAAAGTGGCCACAGAATGGATTAAATCTAAATCTGGCAAGGGCTTCCCTCAGAGGCGGCACACTGAGCGTCAGAAGACCATCAGCCAAGCCCAGCATGGTTCATTATGACCAGTTGTGGAAAGCTGGGAGGGAAAGTGAGTTCAGTGGTTTCTCCTTTACATGGCGCAGCTGCTGAAGCCCTGAAACCACAGTGGCAATGCCAGAA